AATACATTTTTCACCTTAGATTGTACGCCCCTGGAGGGTTAGGGACTGATGTGAATGTACAACATGTATGTAAAGGGTTGCGTAAATTGATGGCGCTATATAAGTGATCTCTAAGAAATGTTTTACTGAACATGTTTAACCTCCCTGGCGGTATGATTATTTCAGATTTTTGGTGCTGAAAGCGGTACCATTTTTTTGCATGGAAATATGTATTTTTTTTATTGTAGGCTGTAATTTTTAGGAAAAAAACTCACTGAAATCTGTCCGAACAAGAGTCTAGTAAACATCCCGGGTATGATAAAATTTTAAACACAAAATCATAAATTATAATTTAATAAATAATCATAAAAATAATATAAAAATAATAAAAAATTTAATTCAATAATATAATCAAACCAAAAAAACACTGAAATGTGAAATAGAGCGCCAAGTTCGCACATTGCTGAGCTCAGTCGCAAAAATCGTTTTCAGTTTCTGATGACGAATTTCCCCCACGAATCATCACTCAATTCTGAAAGTGGTTCTGATTTACTATCTTCTCTAGCTGATCTAAACCCGCTTTTCTTAGCTGACCTAAAGGGTCTGACAAAAAGGGGACACTTTTTGGACGCCATGGACATTTACTCAGTTTCCAGGCAGAAAGAATAGACAAAATGCAGGCAGGGCACAGGACAAAGCACTAGGGACAATATGTATGTGAAATAGGTTGAAACAGCAATGTTTTTACTGTGTAAAATGTAAAAAAAAAAAAAAATGACATTTTTTAAAATTTTTAAATTTCCCGCCGGCGGCGGCGCCCGTACGTCCCGACGTCACAGGGACAGGACACAGAAGCCGGATGCCGGCATCGGCCCGGAGGAGATGGCCGGGGACGCTGCAGGGGACACATCGTGGGAGCGCAGGGTAAGGTAAGTGAAGACAACTTGCCGGAGCAGTGCCGCAGGGTAAGCCCGAGTGTAGCTCGGGGTTACCGCTTTTGGTACTGAAATGTTACCCCGAGCTACACTCGGGAATACCGTCAGGGAGGTTAATAGCAAAAAGTGAAAATATTGTTTTTTTCTCAAAATAGTCAATCTTTTTTTGCTTATAGCACAAAAAGATGAAAAAAAACCACAGGTGATCAAATACCAGCGAAAGAAAGCTCCATTTGTGAGAAAAAAAGGACGTAAATTTCATTTGAATACAGTGTTGCATGACCACACAATTGTTAGTTAAGGTAACGCAGCGCCGCATCGTGAAAAATGGCCTGGTCAGGAAGGGGGTTAAAATCCTCTGGGGGTCAAGTGGTTAATGAAGGAGGGGCCAGGGAGTATATCATTTTCAGCTTTTTGTTAAATATGCCTGATCATACCTGATCATATTTTGTGTTAGGAAGCTCCATAAAATGCTGTCTAAGATTGATTGGGATGTTACAATTATTTTATGTGCATGCTGGATACATAAGAGCGTGTAGCTCCTTTGTTGTGTAGGCTACACTTCATCTACTCTGAGAACAGTCCTCTAATTGGGGGGGTCTGCATCCCTTGAAAGTTGCCCAGCAAAGCTGGAGGTGTGTACTAACTAGAGATTACTTGGCAGTCACTGAAAACAAGAGCCAAGTGTTTTCTTTGACACTGTTCTGAAATTTGACAACAGTGCTTTACTGAGCACATAGAGCCGTTCACACAGATCAATACCCCAATGAACATTACAGCTTAATATCTCTACAATACATCACCTACCAGTATGTTTTTGGGGAATAGTAAAGCATCTAATAGAAGTCTATGCTAAGAAATGCAAATGTCATGCTAAGACTGTTTTTGCTGGAATTCAGAACCAGCACTGCAAGGCATGGGTGCTAGCTACTCCCATACCGGAAAAAAAAGTAACAGGGCTACTAAAGCATGTAAATTTTACACCTGACTATTGTATTGAGATTCAGTTTAAAGTGACACTAAAGGCTTAAACTGAAAGAGAAAAAAAAAAACCATAAACACATCATATTTACCTGTTCTGCACAGTGGTTTTGCACAGAAGCAGCTGAGATCCTCCTCTTCTCATGTCCACCACCAGAGATTCTGGCCCCTCCTTCCTGTCGGGTGCCCCCACAGCAAGCAGCTTGCTATGGGGGCACCTGCTGCTCCATGTGTTCATTCACACCAAAAGTCATGGCCAGGAGTGGACTGACAACTCATGGGGCCCCCGGGCAATAGGGGATCATGGGGCCCCTGTGTCCTTGCCCACACTCAAAAAAAAAAAGTACCAGGGGCATTTCATGGGGCCCCCTACTGACCCCGGGCCGTCGGGCAGTGCCCGAGTGCTCGAATGGTCAGTCCGCCCCTGGTCATGGCTCAGCCCTCTTTTCTCATAAAAAAACTAGAACATTTGGTGAAATGTCCCACCATTTACATTGTTTTTGCCAACATAACAAATGTAGAAACAAAGAGCATATATGGGTGCTTACATGTTTTTACATGCTTACATGTTTTTCTTTTGCTATTTTTGCCCGCTTTGGTATACTGGATTATTGACTACTATATTATATGTTTGGAAAGAGCCCCTACATCAACAGTCTTTGCCTTTGGGACATATATTAAATGATTCCCTTGTGAAAAACCACAACCGTTGGAACCTTTTTACTCTTTGTGGCTTTTATTAGATTTCCCTTACTGGTTGTTGTAGTGTGGTCCTTGCTGGTGGATGGATCATTGGGGCGTTCCTGCCTGTCCTCTCCCAGGTGTGTCACTTGGAAAGCATCCTCTCCTATTTTTGTATGAACATCTTTTAACTAATATCTGATGTGGTGCAATTTATAAGTGTATGAGTAATCAGTCTCTTTTACACACTTCTAATTTGTTAGTATGTACTATGTTGTCTGTATTTATGTGATGCTTTGTTATGTTCTAGACCGAACATATTTATTGCCTGAAGAAGGAAACATGAGTTCCGAAACACATTTGGATACCATCATTGTTCAAGTCCTTTTGGGCTGCTAGCCGACTTGTCAGTTGATGTGTTACAGACTGTCAGAATATATGCATATTGTACATGTCATTGAATTTTAGTCATGAACCATTGTTTTATAATCCAACTTTATTGAATCTCGTAGCTATGAGGGCACCTGCTGCTCCATGTGTCCATTCACACCTAAGGTCATGGCTCAGCCTTCTCTTTTCTCATACAAAACTAGAAAATTTGGTGAAATGTCCCACCATTTACATTGTTTTTTGCCAACATTAAGAATGTAGAAACAAAGAGCAAATATGGATGCTTACATGGTTTTACATGCTTACATGTTTTTCTTTTGCTATTTTTGCCCGGCTTTGGTATACTGGATTATTGACTACTATATTATATGTTTGGAAAGAGCCCCTACATCAACAATCTTTGCCTTTGGGACATATATTAAATGATTCCCTTGTGAAAAACCACAACCGTTGGAACCTTTTTACTCTATGTGGCTTTTATTAGATTCCCCTTACTGGTTGTTGTAGTGTGGTCCTTGCTGGTGGATGGATCATTGGGGCGTTCCTGCCTGTCCTCTCCCAGGTGTGTCACTTGGAAAGCATCCTCTCCTATTTTTGTATGAACATCTTTTAATATCTTACGTGGTGCAATTTATAAGTGTATGAGTAATTGGCCTTTTTTACACATTTTTAATTTGATAGTATGTACTATGTTGTCTGTATTTATTTGATGCTTTGTTATGTTCTAGACCGAACATATTTATTGCCTGAAGAAGGAAACATGAGTTCCGAAACGCGTTTGGATACCATCATTGTTCAAGTCCTTTTGGGCTGCTAGCCGACTTGTCTGTTGATGTGTTACAGACTGTCAGATTATATGCATATTGTACATGTCATTGAATTTTAGTCATGAACCATTGTTTTATAATCCAACTTTATTGAATCTCTCGATTCTTTTTATAAAAAAAATTGTAATAAACATTTACTGTTTTATACTTCTGTACACATACTGTTTTTTGCCTCATAAAGTCCCAGGGCGATACCTCCATATTTGCTCTCTCTTCTTATTGGTTCACTGGCTGTGAGCTGTCTCAGCCAATGAGGATAGGGAGTCCTGGGATAGCCGAGACTCCAGTACACATCGCTTTGAGAGGGGGCTTAGGTGATTATTAGGGGGGCTGCTGCGCAGAGAATGTTTTTTTACCTTCATGCAAATAATGCATGAAGGTAAAAACATTCAGCCTGTACAACCACTTTAACTATCTGCTCAACATGAATAAAAATTCTGAAACATTGATATATTCCTTGAACATGACAAACACAATTGCTTAAAATATGATTTATTTAAAAAAAATACTAAATGTCATCAAATAAGAGAAAACATTTTTATTGTCCTTATAATGGAGCATGTACTAATATACAGTATGAAAACCCTGCTTAGCAGTACCATGTCTACCCTTATGACTTATCTGAAGCATAAAATGTTACTTGAGAATGAAACTTCCCACTGATAACATCTTTGTTCAATGTCTTTCAAAACAGTTTCCTTTTAAGTGCAAAAAAGTTTCCCACTAGTTAATGTGAACTGTATCATAATAAAAACCACTGCTTGACTGTACATATAACTTGTACGTTTGCACATCCTCTGTAAGATTACATTAATAAATCACTTTTTTCAACAAGTGAGAAAAGTTACTGTTTGAAAAAATAATTTGTTCATTTGACAAAGTGTCCTAGGTTATCCTACTGGGCATATTAGCAGAGCTATAATGAATAAAAATAGAAAAACACACATGTGTATGCACATGCAACTAATATTTTGTTGTCTGAATTTAACTTGTTTAACTTTGTATTCTTGCCTCAAATAACACGTATTTAGAGTTGAAAAAGTATTTGATATGCCATTTTCTTCCATAGCCTCCCTGGCGGTATTCCCAAGTGTAGCTCGGGGTAAAGTTTCAGTACCACAAGCAGTAACCCCGAGCTACACTCGGGCTTACCATGCAGCGCTGCTCTGCGATCCCTCGATCACTTACCTTGTCCTGCGCTCCCGCGATGTCCCTCCGGCTGTGTCCCTGGCAATGTAATCCAGCGGATGCCGGCATCTGTCATCTGGGTTCCGTCTCCTGCGACGTCGGGATGTACGGAGACGGAACGGCAGGAAATTAAAAAATGACAAAAAGTGACATTCACTAAAATCACATAGTAAAACTTTACTGTGTCAAACAATTTCACATGCATTGTGTCCCTAGTGCTTTGTCCTGTGCCCTGCCTGCATTTTTACTGTTCTTATTGCCTGGAAACTGATAAATGTCCATGGCATCCAAAAACCGTCACTTTAGGTCAAAAGCGGTTTTAGACCAGCTAGAGAACAGCGATAGTAAATTAGAACCACTTGCAGAATTGAGTGATAATGATTCGTGGGGAAATTCGTCATCAGACTCTGGAAACAATTTTGCAACCTTGCTCAGTGATGTGAGAACTTGGCGCTATATTTCAAATTTCAGTGTTTTTGGTTTGATTATATTATTGAATTAAATTTATTATATTATTATTTTTTATGATTATTTATTAAATTATAATTTCGTGTTTCAAGTTTTATCCTACCCGGAATGTTTACTAGACTCTTGTTCGGACAGATTTCAGTGAGTTATTCCTAAGAATTACAGGCCTACAATATAAAACGCCAAATTTCCATGCAAAATAATGGTACCGCTTTCAGCACCAAAAATCTGAAATAATCATACCGCCAGGGAGGTTAATACACCTCATTGGAGCCCTTTAATTTCTGTACTTGAATATATACAGTATATATATATATATATATATATATATATATATATACACATACATACATACATACATACATATATATATATATATATATATATATATATATACACACACATATATACACACACACACTGCTCAAAAAAATTAAAGGAATACTTGAAAACACATCAGATCTCAATTGGTAAAAATATCATGTTGAATATCTTTACTGATATGGATTGGATAATGTGTTAGGAATGTAAGGAAGGATGGCCCATCGTTTGATGGAAATGAAAATCATCAACCTACGGAGGACTGAATTCAAAGACATCCCGAAAAACAATGTGAAAAATGGTTCAGCAGGCTAGTCTATTTTGCTGAATATCATTACAGCAACTCAAAATGGTGCTCACTAGTTTGCACGGCCCCCATGTGCTTGTATGCATGCCTGAAAACATCAGGGCATGCTCCTAATGAGACGATGAATGGTGTCCTGGGGTAATTCCTCCCAGGTCTGGAACAGGGCATCACTGAGCTCCTGGACAGTCTGAGGTGCAGCCTGGCAGCGTCAGATGGACTGAAACATGATATCCCAGAGGTGATTTATTGCATTTAGGTCAGGTGAGCATGGGGGCCTTTCAATGGTATCAATTCCTTTATCCTCCAGGAACTGCCTGTATACTCTCCCCTCATGAGGATGGGCATTGTTGTGCACCAGGAGAAACCCAGACCCCACTGCATCAGCGTAGAGTCTGACAATGGGTCCAAGGATTTCATCCCAATACCTAATGGCAGTCAGTGTGCCATTGTCTAGCCTGTAGAGGTCTGTGTGTCCCTCCATGGATATGCCTCCCCAGACCATCACTGATTCCACCACCAAAACGGTCATGCTGAATAATGTTACAGGCAGCATAATGTTCTCCATGGCTTCTCCAGACCCTTTCATGTCTTTCACATGTGCTCAGGGGGAACCTGCTTTCATCTGTGAAAAGCGCAGGGCACCAGTGGCGGACCTGCCAATTATGGTGTTCAGTGCCAAATGCCAATCGAGCTCTATGGTGCCAGGCAGTGAGCACAGGGCCCACTAGAGGACATCAGGCCCTCAGGCCACCTTGTGAAGTCTGTTTCTGATTGTTTGGTCAGAGACATTCACACTAGTGGCTTGCTGAAGGTCATTTTGTAGGCCTTTGGCAGTGCTCACCCTGTTCCTTCTTGCACAAAGGAACAGATACAGGTCCTGCTGATGGGTTAAAGACCTTCTACGGTCCTGTCCAGCTTTCCTAGAGTAACTGCCTGTCTCCTGGAATCTCCTCCATGCTGTTGAGACTGCGTTGGCAGACACAGCAAACCTTCTGGCAATGGCACGTATTGATGTGCCTTTCTGGAGGAGTTGGACTGCCTGTGCAACCTCTGTAGGGTCCAGGTATCGCCTCATGTTACCAGCAGTGACACTGACCCTAGCCAAATGCAAAGCTAGTGAAAAACAGTCAGAAAAGCGGAGTAGGGGAAAAAAAAGTCAGTGGCCTCCACCTGTAAAACCATTCCTGTTTTGGGGGTCATCTCACTGTTGCCCATCTCGTGCACCTGTTAATTTCATTAGCACCAAAGCAGCTGAAACTGATTAGCAACCCCCTCTGCTGATTAACTGACCAGATCAATATCCCAGGAGTTTAATTGACTTTATGCTATATTCTGATTAAAAAGTACAAATTGGGTGTGGAAGTGGGACTTTAACCACTTGCCCTCCAGAGGATGTACCCCCCCCCCCCCCCCCCCCCCCCCCCCCCTGACCAAGCCATTTTTTTGCTGTACAGCACTGCGCTATTTTAATTGATAATATCACAGTCATGCAATGTTGTACACAAATGAAATGTTCTTTTTTTTCCTACAAATAGAGCATTCTTTCGGTGGTATTTAATCACTTGTGCAGTTTTTTTTTTTTACGCTATAAACAATAAAAAAAACAATATTTTTGACTTTTTGCTATAAAACATATCCATTAAAATTTTTTAAAATAGCATTTCTTCATAAATTCAAGCTAAAATGTATTCTGCTACATGTCATTGCTAATACGTGTAAGTTAATTGGTTTACATGAAATTGTCTACAAATGGTAGTATGTATACTGGGATTTTTAATTTTTTTTTTTTTTTTTTACTAGTAATGGTGGCGATCAGTGACTGCGGGACTGCGGAGCACATTCTGACACTGGGTGAGAACTGAGTAACTGCCACTAATACAATGATCAGAGCTAATAAAAAAGCACTTACACTGTACTAATGACAATGGGCAGGAAGGAGTTAACATCTGGGGCGATCAAAGGGTTCATAGTGTGCTGTGTGTGTTTTACTAGGTAGACAACCTGCTTTGTATTGCTCTGCTGTGCAGAGCAATACAAAACAGCCTGTTTGTGCTGAAAGGGGAGAGGAGAGATCTGTGTTGTTTACACACAGACCTCTCCCGTCAGCTCCGCCGATGATCACTGACTCCCGACTGAGAATCAGCGACCAGGACCCGGTAATTGACATGCCGAGGAGCCAATAGGGGCACGGGTAGGGAGTGCATGTGCGTCCCCTTCCTGGAAACACACACGTGATTTGCATGTGTGTGTAATTATATATATATATATATATATATATATATATATACATACATACATACACACACATACATACATACATACATACACACACTTGATTATGCGCATCCCTGCTGCCCTGTAGCAGTACTTCTGCATTAGGGCAGTCAGAAAGTGGTTCGCAAGTGAACCTATATATTAAACACACAGACACAAATATGCATAAAAATTAAATAGTTTATTAAACTGACATATAAAAATATCCATCTCTAAGTACAAACATCTTTCTTGGATATAAAATGTGTCCAGTAACGTAGGTCGATGCATTTCATGGGTATTCCTGCTTCTTCAGGACCCACAAATCATTTACTTGAAAATATACATACTCAAATCTGAAATATCTTCTTATGTGTTGGGGGGCAGGATATCAGATGTAAAAACAAGTCTTATGGTACAGATGAAATGTGTGTCACTTATATGCTCTTGACGGTCAAAGGGAAATCACCCTTGAAGACATCAAGGCCCCAGAGCTAGAGTAGAAATTCCAGTATGAGCCAAAAATAGCTTGTACATAGGATGCAATTAAATGGCGGACAGTGTCTCCAGAAGAAGCAGAAACCACATCCCAGCTAGATTAGAATATAGATGTCTCAAATTACAATGGGAAACCAATGGACTCTTAACAAGGATCTAGGTTCAAATATCCGAGCTCTTAATAAAATATCAAGAAGAGAAACCCTCATTCCAGGAGACAAGCATCAAGCTTCAATAACAAAATGGCATTATGGCGGCTTGATGCTTGTCTCCAGGGGTGATTATCCTGGCAAGCGCATATAAGTGACACATATATTTCATCTGTACCCTAAGACTTGTTCTTACATCTGATATCCTGCCCCCCAACATATAAGAATATATTGCATATTTGAGTATGTATATTTTCAAGTAAATGATTTGTGAGTCCTGAAGAACCGGGAATACCCGGTGAAACGCATTGACCTACGTTATTGGATGCATTTTATATCCAAGAAAGATGTTTGTACCTAGAGATGGTTATTTTTATATGTCAATTTAATAAACTATGTAATTTTTATGCATAATTGTGTCTGTGTGTATAACATATAGGTTCACTTGTGAACCCCTAAGGTATAATTAAAATCACACTTCCACACCCCAATTTGTACATTTGTAATCAGGATGATACCTAAGGGAGTCATATTCTCATTTAATCATTTACACCGCTCCTTCTATCATGTATGTGAATTCTGATTAAAAATTGTTCCTTAAATTTTTTTGAGCAGTGTAGCTTCTGGTTTTTAAAAACCATAAGCGATTCATTGTTGCCATATCATATATTTGGGATAGCTTGCTCATGGCTAGTGGAGGAGCTCTGCATTAGTGGCACAAGCCTCTTAAAGGATAAGTTCACCTTTAGGAGCATGTTACATGCTACACCTATATTTAGGGTGTAACATGCTTCTATGCACCCACCTTGAACCTGGAGCTCATCCCTACCTAACACATGTTTTGAAGTCCTGAAGTTCCAGGACAGCAGAAACTACAAAACTAATTTTGGAAAGTGGACACCTCAAGGTATTTGCTAAGAGGCATGGTAAGGTTACTTGTCACTAGCCTACCCTGGCCGCATGTGAATGCAATATGTGGCAAAAAAGGTTTGTAAATGCGGTACCATGTTTACATGCATTTTGCCATGTTTTGCATTTTTTCACAGCCGGCGGTCAAAATGTTCCTATCATGAACGTGATTCTTCCATGTTCAAGAGAGGGAGGTTAACTTAATCTAAACTCGGCAATTGCTGAACTCTGCTAAAAGCATGTGTACATGGATACATAGGCTCTTATAGAGTTGAGTTTAGGAGCTTTGGCAAAAAAACACCAAAGGCTCCTAAAATCAAGTTTAAGAGCTGCCAGTGTACATGAGGTGTTTTAAAATTTACTTTTTAGCCACAAGTTTTTGGCCATAATCTGACACTGGCCATAATCAATCATTGGCTCTGTGATCAGGTGTACTGGGGTACTGTTATTTGAACACTGGCTGCGA